CCTCCAGCCCATACTTCCTCATCTGCTGTCTCCTCCTGCCCTGCTGTCTGCTGTGTTCCAGGAAGGGTCCCTAGGTTAAAGTTTGGTGTCTGACTGCTCTGCTGCCAGCCTGTCATCCACACAGAAAGGCTCAGAGTCTGTTCAGTCTGCTGTGCAGCATGCAGCCATTCCTGCTGCCCATTCCTCTAATCCATCTTCTTTTCACATTCACCAGGGCCTCTGCATCTTCATTTCCAGATTCTGTTTCTAATTGCTTGATAGATGTGGCCTCCTACACCTCCCCTAACATCCCAAACTCAGCATCCAAACCCAGAATGCTGCCCCTCAGCAAGACACAGCCTTTGCCACTCTCCAGCTCCTGTCACCAACGGGAAACTTACCCAGTTTCCTAAGCCCTCCAACCCGGTCTCCTCCAGGGACCTGCTGGAAACTTCCTTACCTAGACTTCCATTCTCTTCCCTAAAGCCAAGGAGCAGACTTTCTTTCTTTCTTTTTTTTTTGTCGGTCATGGGGCTTGAACTCTGGGCTTGGGCACTGTCCCTGCGCTCTTCAGCTCAAGGCGAGCACTCTTACTGCTTGAGCCACAGTGCCACTTCGGTTTTTCTGGTGGTTTATTGGAGATAAGAGTCTCACTGACTTTCCTTGCCCGGCTGGCTTTGAACCATGATCCTCAGATCTCAACCTCCTCAGTAGCTAGGATTACAAGCATGAGCCACTGGCGCCCAGCTAAGGAGCAGACTTTCTACCCAATGCAGTTCCCTCGCAGTTTGTGAGAAGAAATGAGGCCCCAAGCAAGCACTTGCTCTGGGACCCATGGCTGGTGTCCAGGTTCTCACTGGAAGCTGTTTGCCAGTGTTTTCCCACACCAAGGGCATTTCCAGCAGCTTTCATGCTTTCCACTGCTCTGTGCTGTGTAGCCTGTGTGTCTGAAATGCTGAGGTAATAGTTCTCGTGTATGCTTGGCCCTGTTGTTTAGTCCCCTGTGTGAAATAAGATAGGCTTTCTTATTGATTTCTCTGGATTAGGGCCCAGCCCAGTGTAAGGCAAACAGATACTAATGCAAGATGGATAATAATGGGGCAACTGTAAATACCAGGCTCAAGCGGGCCTTTCCTTGTGAAGCAGGTAGGAGTCTTGTCAATGCTGGGACAGGAGCACATGTGTTAAACCTGTCACTGGAGGCAGCAGGAGCTCCAGGAAGAAGGGCAGAGGACAGGCCTGACTGGCAGCCCAGGAATTGAAAGTAAAGCAGAGACCTGGAGGAAAAAGGGAAGGACGGCTGTGGCTTGGAGAGAGGAGGCATGGAGCCTAGATGGGATTGTAGAGTGAAGAAAAAGAGCTGCTCACGCCTGTAATCCTAACTACTCAGGAGGCTGAGATCTGAGGATCATGGTTCAAAGCCAGCCCGAGCAGGAAAAGTCCTTTATCTCCAATAAACCACTAGAAAACCGGAAGTGGTGCTGTGGCTCAAGTGGTAGAGCACTAGCCTTGAGCTGAAGAGCTGAGGGACAGCGCCCAGGCCCAGAGTTCAGGCCCCACAACTGACCAAAAAAAAGAAAAAGAAAAAGAGCTGCTGTTGAAAAAGCAGGGTGGGCTCAGTCTTTGTGGAACATCTTTGGGACTGGGGGTGTACAAGAAGCTGGCGATTTCTATCTCTAGGAAGTGTGGTCAGGAAGCAGAGTTGAAACTCATTGGATATTAATATCTGAACTCAGTGATCCAGCTTACAGAGATTATTAAGCCAGGTGCTAGTGGCTCATGACTATACTTGCTACACTGGAGACTGAAATCCAAGGATCAAGGTTTAAAGTTAGTCCAGGCAGGAAGAGAGAGACTCTTATCTCCAATTAATGGCTAAAAATTAAGCCAGAAGTGCAGCTGTGGCTCACAAGTGTTGAGTGAAAAAACTCAGGCACAGGCCCTGTGCTCAAGCTCCAGGACTGGTGTGTGCGTGTGTGCACGCGCGCGTGCGTGTGTGTGTGTGTGTGTGTGTGTGTGCGCGCGCGCGCGCATACACACAAATTATAGCATTAAAATGCATTGTGGGGGGGCTGGGAAGGTGGTTCAGTGGTAGAGCACTTGCCTTGCATGCATGAGGCCCTGGATTCGATTCCTCAGCACCACATAAACAGAAAAAACCAGAAGTGGCACTGTGGCTCAAGTGGTAGAGCGCTAGCCTTGAGCTAAGGAGCTAAGGGACAGTGCCCAGGCCCAGAGTTCAGGCCCCATGACCGACAAAAAAAAAAAAGGTTTTGTGGCCAGGGAGCCAGCCAGTGGCTTATACCTGTGATCCTAGCTACTCTGGAGGATGAAATCTGAGGATCATAATTCTAAGCCAGCCTGGGCAGCAAAGTCTGTGAGACTCTTTATCTCCAATTAACCAGCAAAAAGCCAGCAAAAAGCTATGGTTGAAGTGGTAGAGAATGCCAGACTAGAGCAAAAGTGTTAAGAGAGAGAGTCCTTGCCTTGCATTCAAGCCCCAGTACCAGTATGTGCACATGTGTGTGCGTGTGCGCGTGCCTTTAACAGTCCCATCAGATTTTCCTAGATTTGGAGATTCTGAAAATAACAACCGTGAGTCCTTATTCCTGTCTCACTCCACTGAAAAAAGAACTAATTAGATTCAAGAAAGGACTTCCCAACAGTGAGTGTTACAAGATCCCAGAATGTTGAGGTCCTTTCTTGGGGAGATTTTTAAGGAACTATGTTCTCTTCCAGCCAAACCTTAATGCCTAGAACTTCAGATAGATAACTTCTTTCCAAATCCTGGCAGCTTTCAGATTCAGACAAACCTCTCATTCACAGCACCTCCTCCTCACCGCCCCCCTCCCCCCCACATTGACTTTTTTTTAACTTCCTTTCTTTTTTTTGGCCAGTCCTGGGGCTTGAACTCAGGGCCCTGGGCACTGTCCCTGAACCTCTCTATGCTCAAGGCTAGCACTCTACCACTTAAGCCACAGTGCCACTTACAGCTTTTTCTGTTTATGTGGTGCTGAGGAATTGAACCCAGTGCTTCATGTATGCTAGGGAAGCACTCTACCACTACGCCACATCCCAGCCCCCATTGACTTTTTAGATCTAGTAAAGATTTTCAGTAACTTTAGGTGGAACAAAATAATTGACTACGTACAGACCATGAGGTGCATTTTTGTTCTTGTTGTTGGTAGTGGGCTTTGAACTCAGAGCCTTATGCTTGCTAGGCAGGTCTATCATTTAAGCCATGTCTGCAGCCCTTTTTGCTTTTTAACCCAGTCCCCCTCAGCTGTCACACCACTGCCTACACTTCCTATGTAGCTGCAGTTATAGTTGTGTGTCACAGTGCTTGGTCACCAGGACCCATCAGAGCATGTAGAAGGCCCTTGGAGTTCTGCCCGATGCTTTCTGGATTGGTCTGTCCAGGTACTCTTGGGCTATCAAGTCCCAGCCATTAGTGCTAGACAGATTTCTTGAGCAAGGACTGCTTCCCTCTCTCTGGGGAATTGACAAAATACATTTATAGCCAGGCACGTGCCCTATAATTCTAGCTATTCAAGGAGCTGAGATCTGAGGATCACGGTTTAAAGTGAGCCTGGGGAGGTAAAGTTAACCACCAAAAGGCCAGAAGTAGGGCTGGGATGGTGGCTCAGTGGTAGAGCGCTTGCCTTGCATGCCTGAGGCCCTGGGTTCGATTCCCCAGGACCACATAAGCAAAAAGAAAAAAAGCCAGAAGTGGCGCTGTGGCTCAAGTGGTAGAACGCTAGCCTTGAGCTGAAGAGCTGAGGGACAGTGCCCAGGCCCAGAGTTCAGGCCTCACGACCGGACCCGGAAAAAAAAAATCAATTTTTTATTAGGATTTATACATGCTTTAGTCTAGCTGTTGAGGGAGCTGGGCTTTGTCCATTCCTTCCCTTCAGTTCCTCTGACAAAGTGGCAATGAGTTCAGTGAAGACATTCTTGGAAAGCCTTAGGCTGGTGCCTGCTGGTCTCTGCCATGACCAAGTCCTGCCCTGTGTGCTGATTATTCTAGTGAATGAAGGCGTTTGGGGCTTGTGTGTGGGTCTCTTCTGTTGTATTTTTTGTTTTTTAATTTTAGAAATACTATATTTTTCAAAAACAATGAGAGAGGTTTAGATTTCATACTGTTACCTGATCTCTACACAGTTCACTCCTCAGTGGCTGCCTTCCTCCCTGCCTCCTCCCCCAGGAGCTGCAGAGCAGGATGGTACAGGGACCAATTTCTCCAGCTCGTAGCCCTACCTTCCAGTTTCTCTCTTTCAAAAAAGCAGTTCTGCCATGGGTGTGTGGGGAGCCTCGGGACAGGCTGGCAGCTGTGTAGCTCTGGCCCGCACAAGGATAGGCCTCTTTAGAGGCTTTGTTCAGCCCTAGGCCCTCCTCCTGGCACTGCTAGGCTCAGAAGAAAGGGGATGCAGAGTTCTCCCTGTTCATCTGACCCATCAAAGGCCCTTTCCCAAGTCACCTGCTCTCCCTTCTTTCCTTTACCTGCTCCTAGATGACCCAGCATCTGGCCAGAAGCCCTCAATTTTTGGAAGGATTCAGAAGGGGAGGGACGGACTAAAGGAGGTGGCTCCTTGCTCCCTCTCCTGTGATCATCCTGTCTTTAAAATAAAATAAGAACAATGACAATTAACTTTTATTGCGCGCACACACTCTGTGCCAGGTTCCATCTTGGCATTTTATGAGCATTACTTCATTTAACGTCCTCACCAGACCCGAGGTGTGTCCTCAGGCACCCAAGGATAGAACAGAGATTGTCAGCAAGTTAGAAATTGGGAGTCTGCCTTGAAAAGCCATCAGGACTCTGACATTCTTCTTCTCTCCTTTGAACTCTTCCCTTTCTCCCATTCCTTCCACCATCAGGAAGAGGGCCCCCCATAGGCCCCCAAGTAGGTCCTGCTCCCAAAGTGCAGTCCGAATGAGTGCTCTCCTCCCTTCTAGCATCAAATCCTTTTTGGAGTTCTGACATCTGTCCTTTCTGTCTTCTTCCCGTCCCCTTACCCCAGGACCCAGCTGGAATCTTTGAGCTGGTGGAGGTGGTTGGCAATGGAACCTACGGACAGGTGTACAAGGTGAGAGACTCATGGTGCAGAAGTGTGACCTGGACAACTGTGGGCTTTCTTGAGAGGAGTGGGAGAATGGTTCTGGGCCTGAAGATTTGAGGGGAGCTACAAGAGATCTACAGAGGATAGGGGGACCTAGGAAAAGAAGGGACCTGAGAGGAAAACAGAACAGCAGCAGGCCCGCAGCGGGTGGGGGTGGGGGTTGTCATTGGCTGGTTTCTCCCTCTGATACAGAACTGGTTCTGGGTGTGGCAGGACAGGACAGGGCTGGAGCTGGCAGCTGTGAGACTGGAAACAGGAAGCGCCAAGAGGGCAGTGGGGAGAATGTGGCCATGTGGGTGTCAGAGTTCACCTGGGAATTCAGGCCAGAGATATGGGCTTGGTTCCTTCCCAGGTTTGACAGGTGGCCTTCTGCAGAGAAGACGCTGCTTTCTTGACCTCCTGCAGCTGCCTCCCAACAGAGCTGCAGCCAGAGCACAGACGGGTTTTTGAGGGTGTCTATCTTCACACAAGCAGTGTGTGAAGCCATTGATTGCAGCTGTTAGCCTGGCCAGCCAGGCAGCCCATTCACATGACCTGCCAACTGCCCACACTTGAATTGGGGAGGGGAGCAGACACAGCAGGGAGCAGGTGTTCAAGGTGGTGCTACCCTGCACTGGTGGAACACAGAGCGAAACCTACTTTTTCTTTTTTTTGGGGGGGGGGGGGTCCAGTTGTGGGTCCTGAACTCTGGGCCTGGGCGCTGTCCCTCAGCTCTTCAGCTCAAGGCTAGTGCTCTACCACTTGAGCCACAGCACCACTTCCGGCTTTTTTCTTTTTGCTTATGTGGTGCTAAGGAATAGAACCCAGGGCCTCATGCATGCAAGGCAAGCGCTCTACCACTGAGCCACCTTCCCAGCCCTGAAACCTACTTTTTCATCTCCAGACATAGTGCTTGCTGTTTCCACGAGTCTAATGTATTTCTGGGTTACTAGAACCACTTCCTTCTTCCCTTGTAAGCTTTGGGAAACAGGCATCCTTACTTCTTGCCTAGTTGTTTCCATGGGAAAGGCAGCTCTGTGTGCTGTGCTTCTCTGTTCTTGGAACCTTTTTTTTTTTTTTTAAGTTTTAACCAGGACTTATGATAATATAACAGGATAAAGTAAGGAGAGTTGAAAAAAGGAAGATACACTTCCTGTTCTCCACACAGGAATTGAGAGTAAAGCACACCCCCTGGGCTTGGGATTCATGAATGGCTGCTGAGAGCAAGATTAACCCAGGAGCTGGCAGTACCCGCGTCTGTTGCACAAAAGGCTGCCTCCCCCCACTCCGCCCTTCTCAGGAAGCTGTGGGCTTTCCTGTCTAAGCCTTTGATGGCTCTGGCTAAGAATTTCTCCAGGATGGTGGAGAGAATGAGGAATAGCTGGGGCACAGTCAACAAAGGGACTTTCCTGTTAGACTGATTTTGGGCCAGGTGCCAGTGGCTCACGCCTGTAATCCTAGCTTCTCAGAAAGCTGAGATCTGAGGATCTGAGTTAAAAGCCAGCCTGGGCAAGAAAGTCAGTGAGACTTTTATCTCCAATTAACCACCAAAAAAACCCGTGGCTCAAGTAATAGAGCACTAACCTTGAGCAAAAGAGCTCAGAGACAGTGCCCAGGCCCTGAGTTCAAGCCCTAGTACCAACACACACACAAAGACTCGTGATGGTAACTGGGTCCCTGTGGGTCACACCTATAATCCTGCCACACCTATAATCCTACTTAAGAGGCTAAATTCAGGGTATTGTGGTTTCAACAAATCCTAGAGACTCTTACTTCCAATTAACCAGCAAAAAGCCAGAAATGGTTCATGTGGTAGAACCCCAGCAGTAAATGCAGAAAGCTAAGTGAAAGTGAGACCCTGAGTTCAGATCTCAGCACATACAAGACCGGTGCTGCGGTGTCAACCTGTCAGCCAGCCCCTCTCTTTGCCCAGTCTCAGTTGTGCCATTCTTCTTTCCCTGTTAACAATGAAAAGCTTTAGGAGTGGGTTTAATCATAGAATAGGCCTTCTGTCTGGAGTAGGCATTTTGTTTTACATAGAGGAGAAGGGTGAAGCCCCTTCCTTCCCAGCACCTCCACTGGGATGCAGAAGTACCTTTACTCTGACGGAAGTCTGTGCCAGGGAGGTGGAATAGAACACCCTGCCTGTTACTCACCTTTACTGGGGTTTTTTGTTTGTTTTGTTTTTCTGGGAAACCCTCATCACTGTCACGTCTTATCTTTATAGTGTGGAAATGGCAGTCTAAGTAGTTTTTCTGTTAGCCACTAGGCTCAAGAACTCTCTCTTGATTCCTACTCCTGTGACCACATATAGACTCAGGTGTCTAGCCACAGTGAAGGCACAGAAAACAGCTCTAAGATGTACTCCTCCAGAAATCAAACCTTCGTTATTGTTCTACTCCCTGAGCACAGATCCTCCACACTGTGCTTTTTGCCCTGTAGGGTCGGCATGTCAAGACTGGGCAGCTGGCTGCCATCAAGGTCATGGATGTCACGGAGGTAGGGAGTGGAGCTGGGCAGGGTGGGGATGGCATCAGCAGGGGCTGTTGGGGTCTCAGGGCTTGCCTCCTCCCATTCACCTAGGATGAGGAGGAAGAGATCAAACAGGAGATCAACATGTTGAAAAAGTATTCTCACCACCGCAACATTGCCACCTACTATGGGGCCTTCATCAAGAAGAGCCCCCCTGGGAATGATGACCAGCTCTGGGTGAGAAATGCCTCTGTCTACCCCTCCTGCGTCTCCCACCTCCAGGCACTCATGTGGAGCCCCAGCATCTCTTCCTGCCAACGGCCCTACCTTCAGTGTACCCAGCCTCTCCTGCTTGCGGATCACCTTTGCCCTGGCCAGTCTGACAGGCACTATATAAATGGCCATAGACACCTGGTGTTGGCCAGAAGAGACTGGGGAAACTTCTCCTACTTGTGAGCACAGCTCTAGGATCCTGGGAAAGCCACAGAACCAAAATTCCTATGGGAAACAATAGGACTCAGATACCAGCACTGTACCCCTTCTAGCAGTATACTTGTGGGTTTTGAACCAGAGCCTACCCAAATTCCTTATGACCCAAAACATTCCTAAGAGTCATTCCCCTCCCTAGCTTGGGCATGGGTGCCAACAATTCTCCAAGCCTCACCCTAAGGAAAGAACAGCATTACAGTGGCTGTGGGCTTTGATGATCATGTTAAGTCTCCCCTCCCACAAGTCAGCAAGACAAATATTCAGCAAGCACCTTCTGTGTGCCCTGCACAGATAAGCATGAGCCATAGTTCTAGCTTCTGCAACGGGGACCCCTCCCCACACACACACACATTGCCAGGTTGTGAGCAGTGGGAGATCATTGAAGACTAGCAGTGAGCCATAGTTCCCTGGCACCCTCTTGACATATTGGGCACCATCCTCTTGTCCCTCCCTCCCCCCACCCACTGCTTTTTTTGTCCCAAGATCAGGCCCAGGACTTAGGGCACATGCAAATTCCTTTTATTGCATAGCCAATATCTGTCCCATCTAGCATTTTCCTGCATTGTTTGAGGCTTTTGGAGAAGACACTGGGAGAAGAAGTCTTCCCAGGTTTCCTCTGGGACTCACTGGGTGCATTCCCTGCACTTCTCTATTAGAGCAGGCATGGAGGACCAGATTCCTAGCCTCATTTTTATTTTTATTTTATTTTATTTTTTTTGTCGGTCGTGGGGCTTGAACTCTGGGCCTGGGCGCTGTCCCTTAGCTCTTCAGCTCAAGGCGAGCGCTCTACCACTTGAGCCACAGCGCCACTTCTGGTTTTCTGGTGGTTTATTGGAGATAGGAGTCTCACGGTCTCTCCTGCCCGAGCTGGCTTTGAACCGCGATTCTCAGATCTCAGTCTCCTGAGTAGCTAGGATTACAGCTGTGAGCCACCAGCGCCTGGCTTAGCCTCATTTTTAGAGGCAAACTATTTCTGTGGGGGGGCAGATAGTAAGTAGTATTGGTTCTGCTGGTCATATTTGCTCCATCACAACAACTCAGTTCTGCTGCTATGATGTCATAAGAAAAGCAGTAGACAATATGTAAAAAAGAAAAGTATGGCGGTATCCCCAGACACTCATGTTTTGGTCACTAAAATTGAATTCTATATCATTCTCATATGTCATGAAATATGATTCTTTAGAATTTTCCCCCAACCATTAAAAATTATAAAAATCAGACTGGAGATATAACTTAGTGGTAGGATGTTTGCTTAGCGTTTATGAGGCCCTGAGTCTGATCTCCAGCATGGAAGAAAAGAAAAATTACAGAACCATTCCTTGTTGGGTGGATGAACAAAAGCAGCCTTGAACCACTGCAGTTTGCTGACCCCTGCCCTAGAGCAATGGCTTACTTTAGGGTCAAGTCCTAGTGAGAATCTCATAAAAGCATGAGCCCTTCTTTGAGCAAAGTGTGCCCTGCATTATTTGTGTGCAGTTTTAGGGTTTCCTTGAAGAAACACCTTGCAACACCATGTGGACAGTTTCACGGGTCCCTTGGGGAATAACATACCCTGCATCACTATGGGCAGTTTCAGGGAGTCCTGGGACTCCTGCCCAAGGCTCAGCTTCATCCTGCCAGTTCCTTCCCAGCAATGTGCCTTTTCCTCCATTCCTCCCTCCCTCCTTGAACTCTGGGCCTAGGCACTATCCCTGAGCTCCTCAGCTCAAGGCCAGTGCTCTACCACTTGAACCACAGTGCCACTTCCAGTTTTCTGGTGGTTAGTTGGAGATAAGAGTCTCACAGACTTTCCTGCCTAGAATGGATTTGAACCACATTCCTTAGATCTCAGCCTCCTAAGTAGCTAGGATTACAGGCGTGAGCCACTGGTGCCTGGCCTTCCTTTCTCTTCTGATCTCAGAAAGTCCTGGAGGGTTCATGCAGACCCTGCCATCTGGCTCAAACCAGTTCTGGTCCCAAGACCTCCGGTCCTCCTCCAAGGGTCTGGAATGAAGGCCAGGGGTAGAGGCCTTGCCTGATAAATAATTTCTCTTCTGATGCTTCCTGGGATCATAGCTGGTGATGGAGTTCTGTGGTGCTGGTTCAGTGACTGACTTGGTAAAGAACACAAAAGGGAACGCCCTGAAGGAGGACTGTATTGCCTACATCTGCAGGGAGATTCTCAGGGTGAGCTTGGGCCCTTGCCTTTTGTCTCACTGACTACCCTCAGGAAGGAGTGGCTGGCCTGATGGGGTGGGGTGGATATAGGCTCCCAGCTTTGGGAACTCGGGCTGCTGGAAGAGACAAAACTGTTCCCAGGCTGTGCCATGGCTCCACTTGCAACCCTGCAACTGCTGGTGCCTCTCCAGAGGCATCACTTGGAGGAAGCTCTCCTCAGGATTGCTCTGCCTGTACTTAGGACTGTGGGGTAGGAGTCTAGAGAGCCCAAGTTCTGTGTAGACTGATGGCTACCCCTCCCTGAGCCCTTCACCTCCTTACTCTTTCCCACCCCTCTTTCTCTACTCTGCTGTCCCAGGGTCTGGCCCATCTCCATGCCCACAAGGTGATCCATCGAGACATCAAGGGACAGAATGTGTTGCTGACAGAGAATGCCGAGGTCAAGTTAGGTGCGCTGCTTCCTTCTGAGGTGCTCTTACCTCCAACACAGAATGGGGTCCCTTTCTCTCTCCAGTGTGCTGGGGAGGCCTACTCCCTCCCCTGCTCCCTGCCCTGGGATGCCTCTTTCCTGCTGAAAAATCTTAAGGAGCTTCTTAGCTGCCACCTACTTAGCACACAGGTGTCTACCCACAGTCAGCGGGAGATGGGATGGTGTGATCCTCATTGTCAGGGATTCTTTCCCTTGGTCCCCAAGAAGCAGGAAGAACAGGTCAAGGTGGAGGGGAAGGGGGGTAAGGTGACTGGATAGAAACAGGCCTCACTGCCCCAGGCCAGGCACACCCACATCCTGAGATGTGAGGCAGTGGAGCCCACAGTGCTCCCCATGCTAACTCCTCCCGTTTCGCAGTGGACTTTGGGGTGAGTGCTCAGCTGGACCGCACTGTGGGCAGGCGGAACACTTTCATTGGGACCCCATACTGGATGGCCCCAGAGGTCATTGCCTGTGATGAGAACCCCGATGCCACCTATGATTACAGGGTATGAAGTGGGAAGAGGGGAACGAAGGGGCTTCCAGAGGACGTGTATGACTCATATGGGGTCTAATGGATAGCTTCAAAGTCAGGCATAAACAGAGTGGGAAGCAAAATGAAGATGTGCTAGCATGTTAGCAGTGAGATTGAGTGCAGCGAGACCTACCTGCTTGCCTGCCTCTAATGTCAGCATTTGGGAGGCTGAGGCGAGGATCTCAAGTTCCAGACCAGCCTGAGCTATCTCAAAAAATTGGGCACTTATGATTAAGTCCTTTTATCTTGGCTACTTAGGAGGCTTGGTTCTAAGGATTGTGGTTCGAAGCCAGCCTACACAGGAAAGTCTGTGAGACTCTTATGTCCAATTAACCCCAAAAAGCTAGAAGTGGAGCTGGGGTTTTAGTGGTAGTAGCACTAGCACCGAGGCCCAGTGTTCAAGCCCCATGAATGACAGAGAAAGAAAAGAGGAATGTTTTATGGCAAGGAAGGTATGGATGGGAGGCCCAGATGACTTGGCATACACTGGTCTTGGGAAAGAGTGTGGAGCAGAAAGGAGTTGTGGAGATGGCAGTGTGGTAGGTAGAAAAATCACTGGGCATAATTGTCGGGAATACTCACCTGTCACCACCTCTCTCCCCTCCACAGAGTGACATTTGGTCTCTAGGAATCACAGCCATCGAAATGGCAGAGGGAGCCCCCCGTAAGTGCTGAGTCTCTCCTGGGTAGGATGTGAGAAAGGGGACCGAGAGGTTGGGCGTGAGGGAGGAGGTCATGTTGAGGAGTGGTCCTTTGGGCTCACCAAGTGGCAGAGGGGACCAACTGTCCTTTCCGTGTCGCAGCTCTGTGTGACATGCATCCCATGCGAGCCCTCTTCCTCATCCCTCGGAACCCACCACCTAGGCTCAAGTCCAAGAAATGGTAAGTCTTTGAAGGGGTGAGATGGGGGAAGAAAGGTCATACCAACCCAGTGTCCCTTTGTGTTCAGGCTTGGATCTATATCATGGAGGAGGTGTACGGGTGGTGGGATTGGGTATGGAAGTCAGGAAGGGAAGTCAAAGTGGTTTGGGATAAGTGCTTCCGCCCTCTTCTTCCTGTGATCCTCCATCCTAAGGGGGGCCCCCGAGTGTGAGCCACCACCATTTCCAGGTCTAAGAAGTTCATTGACTTCATTGACACCTGTCTGATCAAGACTTACCTGAGCCGCCCACCAACAGAGCAGCTGCTCAAGTTTCCCTTCATTCGAGACCAGCCCACGGAGCGGCAGGTCCGCATCCAACTCAAGGACCACATTGATCGCTCCCGGAAGAAGCGGGGTGAGAAAGGTCAGTGGGCAGATGGGAGCCAGAAACACTTAGGAGACACTTCTGCCCCATCTATTTTCTGCTGCCCCTGTGGCTTCTTTGCACATCTCTCCCAGGCCCCAGCTCTCCCCGTAGAAGGAATATCCCCAGATATCCAGCCCGAGTCACCTTTCCGAATGAGGATGGCCTTTCTTGTCCCTCACGCGCATGTGTGAGCGCACAGAGCATCTTGAACCCTGCCCGCTTTGGGGTATGGCCCCTGTCTGTCCAGCTCCAAACTGAGATGTCTCCCCACTGCTCCAGGAGCTGGGCCACCTAGACAGGCCTTACTGGCCATCTAAGATTGCCCTAGTCCAGAGTGGGGCCTGGGGCACTGGGCAGATCAACAGAGGAAGTCTACCCCCTGCAGAGGAAACGGAGTATGAGTACAGTGGCAGTGAAGAAGAAGATGACAGCCATGGAGAGGAAGGAGAGCCAAGGTGGGTTTGGCTAGGAGGCAGGCAGGAGCTGGAGGGGACAACAGTGGACATTGGCTTGGGGACTGTCAGTCTTGGGGAGGGAGAGGGTGGTTCAGAGCTGAAGTGGACAGAAGGCTGGGCGGAAGCTGGCTGTGGTGCTGTGCATCTGTGCGCTCCTCACCACTCAGGAGGCTGCAGCAGGATTCCAAGTTTGAGGCCAGCCTGCCCTATATGATTATCCAGACTGCCTCAAAAAAAAAAAAAAAAGACGGAGCAAAAGAGAAAACAGATCTCCTGGGAGTGACCAGAGGCAGATTGACCTAGTGGATAGGTTCCCCTGGGCTGAGGGAGCACTAGCGAGTTCTGACCTTGTGCTCCTTTGTGTCACTGATTCAGCTCCATCATGAATGTGCCTGGGGAGTCTACACTACGCCGTGAATTCCTCCGACTCCAGCAGGAGAATAAGAGCAACTCAGAGGCTCTAAAGCAGCAGCAGCAACTGCAGCAGCAACAGCAGAGAGACCCAGAGGCCCACATCAAACACCTGCTGCACCAGCGGCAGCGCCGCATAGAGGAGCAGAAGGAGGAACGGCGGCGAGTAGAGGAGGTAGGACCATTCTGGCCCACCTGCCTGCCTTGACCCCCATCCCTGGCTCCAACAGGACAGTGGGGACCATAGGGGAGTGACCAGGGCCTTGCCTTCCTATTCCTTCTCTAACACATACAACCATGTCATGCATATTAGAACACAGTCTTACACAAATGGAAGAATTTGAAGGAATTTTCTGGTTTCCATGTTCATAGATGGACTTTAAACTTTTGTCTAGACAGGAGGTAGCAGGCTGAAGCATCCTCCCCACAAAGCAGGTCCCCATCTCTGTTGAGCAAAGACTAGGTTACAAGAAAGCCTGCTACAGAAGCACCTTCTGCAGTTTTCTTTTAGTGTAAATAGCATTAGGTAGTGAGGAACAAAGGCGAGCCTAATGAGGTATGTGAAGGCTGGCCAGCAAGCTCACTGCCGAAATGGTCCCTCCATGTGTATGGACTCCTGCAGCTGTGCTTGTTTGGGGGAGACAGATTCTGGTCATGAAGATTACTGGTGTGTCAAAAATCACTCCTTAAAACCACAGATTGCTTCCCTGTGCATGGCCACGTAGTGTCCTCTAGTGGCCAAATGCTGTCACTGGTGTCCACCAGCGAAAGGTTGAGTTGGGTTTACTGTGGTGGGCCCTTGGTTTCATTTGTTGTTTTGTGGGGCCCAGAGGAGAGAAAGGTGTTACCGAATTCCTCCTACCCCAAGGTCAGAGTTTGCTTTCAGTTCCTCTAACCCCATGCTCACAGCCTCTCCAGAGGAGCCATCTTCCCAAGCCAAGCCCTTGCTGGTCATGGTGCACCAGGAACTGACTCCGAAGCAGGTGTATTATGCAGAAACATGGTGGAGCCATTCTCTTACTACCATCCCTGTGAAGCAAGGAGTCACTCCCCTACCATCCATGGGAAGGGTCCCCCCCCCCAGGGCTGTGCTGCCCTAACATATAGTGCGGTCCTCAAGAGCACCCCTATTGGACCCACAGCAACAACGGCGAGAGCGAGAGCAGCGGAAGCTGCAGGAAAAAGAGCAGCAGAGGCGGCTGGAGGACATGCAGGCCCTGCGTCGGGAGGAGGAGCGGCGGCAGGCAGAGCGCGAGCAGGTACTGAGGCCAGAGCGCGCTGCACACACCCGCCTCCCGGCCCTTCCCTGCCCCGCCCCCCCCCCCCCCCCCCCCCCGCTCCTGCTGCCTGCCCCCGCCCCCCGCTCCTGCTGCCTGCCCACCCCCTTGTTGCTCCCTGACCCCCAGATTCCTCCTATCTTTTCTAGCTTCACTCTTTCTCTCTGTTTTCTCCCACCCTTCAACCCCCACCCTGGCTCCCTGTCCTCCTGTCTCTGTGCCTTCATTCCCCATCTCTACCCATCCCAACTCCTCTCCCTGGTACCTTCCCTCATGGTCCCCACCTGCTTCCTCCTCATCACCTCTGCCCTCTTCTTCCCATATGTACCTCCTCACCACCCCCCACTCCGGGGGGGCTCATTTTTCCTCGGCTCCCCCTCATCCTCACCCTGCTGATTCCTTCCTTTGCCGCCGCTGCACCCTCCTCCGCTGCCTCTCCCACTCTCCCTGCCCTGTGCCCCCACCCCACCCCCCAGGAATATATCCGTCACAGGCTAGAGGAGGAGCAGCGACAGCTCGAGATCCTTCAGCAACAGCTGCTCCAGGAACAGGCCCTGCTGCTGGTAACGGGGTCCCTTGGCGTCCTCAGGAAGATACCATCCAGGGCTGTTTTGCTGGATTGGGATGGGAACACTGTAGGGGAAGGGACTCGCCAAGATACCAGGGGAAGCAGCTCTTCTAGGCAATTGGAGGAAAGATAGGGCATGCCTGCTCGAACTCCCAGGGCCACATCCTGCTGAGCCCTCCCTTTCCCTACCCTTGGGCCCAGGAATACAAACGGAAGCAGCTCGAGGAGCAGCGGCAGTCCGAGCGGCTCCAGAGGCAGCTGCAGCAGGAGCATGCCTACCTCAAGTCCCTGCAGCAGCAGCAACAGCAGCAGCAGCTCCAGAAGCAGCAGCAGCAACAGCAACAGATCCTGCCTGGGGACAGAAAGCCTCTGTATCACTACAGCCGGGGCATTAATCCTGCTGATAAGCCAGCCTGGGCCCGAGAGGTACTCACTGTCTCCTTTGGCCCTAAGAAATACTCCATTCTGCCTGAGGCCAATGAATTTGTGAGAAGCAGCTGATCTACCACACTGGGCCCTGGGAAGGGGGAAGATTACCTGGCACAGGCCATCGTGCTGCAACAGTTGGAGCAGTGGGGATGTAAATGTTGAGATGAAGGAAGCAAGGCATCCACCTGCTTAACACCTCTTTGTATCACAGGTAGAAGAAAGAACAAGGATGAACAAGCAGCAGAACTCTCCCTTGGCCAAGACCAAGCCAAGCAGTACAGGACCAGAGCCTCCCATTTCACAGGCCTCCCCTGGTCCCCCAGGACCCCTTTCTCAAACTCCTCCCATGCAGAGGCCGGTGGAGCCCCAGGAGGGACCACACAAGGTGAGTCTCTGCCATTCCTAGATACCACATGGGCCCAGGGATCCCTGCGCACAGCACAGGTACAGTGTCCATGTCCCCAGGCACAGACATGCCCTCCTTCATGCACACAGCACAGGTCATGTCATGTCCGCCTTCCATGTATACAGCACAGGACATGTTGTTCTTCATGCACAAAGCACAGGCCACCTGGGCAGATACCTTCAGCTGCTGGCTGCTGTGTGTCTGCCCTCCTTACCTGCTAGTCCCTTGATGAAAGGGGCAAGTGATGCCCTTTCTCAGCCCAGCCCCAGCCGCAGGTGGGGGTGCAGGTGGCAGAGCAGGCTGCCCACCCTCCCTGGTCTCTCCCTGCAGAGCCTGGTGGCACACCGGGTCCCACTGAAGCCATATGCCGCACCTGTGCCCCGATCCCAGTCCCTGCAGGACCAGCCCACTCGAAACCTGGCTGCCTTCCCAGCCTCCCACGACCCGGATCCTGCTGTTCCCACACCCACTGCCACACCCAGTGCCCGAGGAGCTGTCATCCGCCAGAACTCTGATCCCACCTCTGAAGGGCCTGGCCCTAGCCCGAATCCCCCATCCTGGGTCCGGCCAGATAATGAGGCCCCACCCAAGGTAAGGACAGCACTGGAGAACAGACAGAACAGAGGGCGGCGAAGGCAGGGCAGGCAAGGCAGAGTTCTGAGTGGGAAGGGAAGAAAGAGAAGGCAGCCCTGCTATGCATGGTGATCTGCACCTAACTGGACCGCCAGGACACTAGGGAGCAGCCTTTCTGGGCAGGAATCCCAGCTCCAATTCCCAGCTTCCACACTTCTACCTGTTTGCCTATCCACCAGTGCTGGGAAGGGCATCTCAGGGTGGCAGGAGGAGGATGAGTGTCCATGATGTGCTGCACAGGGCTGACAGGCTACCCTGGCTGCTCTCTTCGTAGGTGCCTCAGAGGACCTCATCTATTGCCACTGCCCTTAACACCAGTGGGGCTGGAGCATCCCGGCCAGCCCAAGCTGTCCGCGCCAGGTAACCCTGCAGAGGGACTGGGTAGCAGCCTAGGGAGTAGGAGCATAGGGGACTTGACCAGGTTCCCCACCCAGGGACGGGCAAGCCTGACCCGGTCACCTCAGCCCCTCCCTGCCCCCTCCCGCACCCTGTGCTCCCTCCACAGACCTCGCAGCAACTCCGCCTGGCAAATCTATCTGCAAAGGCGAGCAGAGCGGGGCACCCCCAAGCCTCTAGGGCCCCCTGCTCAGCCCCCTGGCCCGCCCAACACCTCTAGGTAATGGAGTCGCCCCTCACTCACTGTCACCTCTCACTTCTGCCAATGGCTTTCCTGGTGATGGCCCCCTGCAGGTGCAGCCGGACCCCAGGGATGGGGTGCAGCTCCTTGACCCTCCGCTCTGCTCCCTTTCAGTAACCCTGACCTCAGGAGGAGCGACCCTGGCTGGGAGCGCCCCGACAGTGCTCTGCCTGCTTCTCATGGACACCTCCCCCAGGCTGGCTCGCTGGAGCGAAACCGGAACCGGGTGGGAGGTACGTGAGCCAGGGCTGTGCCTTGGCCTGGCCCTTGACCCAGGCTTGATCTGGATAGGCCCTGTCTTTGGTGGCTGTGGGCCAAAACAGCAGAGGGGCAAAGGAGACCAGGGTGGGCGTGGAACATGGTGCTGGGCCGTGGGCTCAGAGCCACAGGACCAGCTAGGGTGTGGGCAGGCCACCCCCTCCAGGTGCCAGTGACCTCCCTTCTCCCACCTTGCCACGGCCAGCCTCCACCAAACTGGACAGCTCCTCCCCAGTGCTTTCCCCTGGGAACAAAGCCAAGCCTGATGACCACCGTTCCCGGCCAGGCCGGCCCGCAGTGAGTCATCTGGTGGCAGGCGTAGCCCCGCATTCTCCGGGTGGGGGGGCCTAGGGGCAGCATGTGGAGCCTCCAGAGCCCTGGGGTGGGCACTGGGTACCAAAGATGGGACCTTCACTAATGCACACAACAGGAGAACTGTGGGGATCGTGACAACGTGTCTCATGTTACTAACCTCTCTTACCTCTTATGCCTCCTCCTGGCTGCCTTTCTCCCCCTGCGGCCCCTCCCAGAGCTATAAGCGAGCAATTGGTGAGGTTAGTGAGCTGTGGGAGCTTCTCCTGTCTCTTGGTCCCCTCTGTACTGCCTTGTACCTGAGCCCTACTGGCTCCCCTCAAACCTCTCCTCTCCTGTAGGATTTTGTGTTGCTGAAAGAACGGACCTTGGACGAGGCCCCCCGGCCTCCCAAGAAGGCCATGGACTATTCATCCTCCAGCGAGGAGGTGGAGAGCAGTGAAGATGAGGAGGAGGAAGGCGATGGTGAACCGTCAGAGGGGAGCAGAGATACTCCGGGAGGCCGGTAAGGGGCATCCTGGGGTTGGGCCCACCTGCATCAGAGGTGAGCAGTGGAGGAGGGGTTACGTTCCAGCTGTGGCAAGTGTGAAAATGGGGAGGTGCGGGCCTTCCACCTCTCCCACAGTTCTGCTGATGGTGAGGCCCTTGCAGATGCTCTGTCTCTGCACCAGCCTCTCTGAGTGCCACATGGGGAACCCCCCCCCCCTCCATTCATGGAGGGCTGAGCAGTGTTTCAGTTATGCTGAGAGCCCAAGTCACTGTGATGTGCTTTCTGTGGCATTTGGGTGTCAGGCAGAACCTGGAGGTCTCTCTTCTCTTCCACAGCAGCGATGGAGACACAGACAGTGTCAGCACCATGGTAGTTCACGATGTCGAGGAGGTGTCTGGGACCCAGGCCCCATATGGGGGTGGCACCATGGTGGTCCAGCGTGTAAGTGGAACCCTCTTGCCTCTGCCCGTACCTGAGCGTGCCTTCTGAAGACCCTGTGCTAACCCTTCCCTCTGTTGTTCAGACTCCTGAGGAGGAGCGGAGCCTGTTGCATGCTGATAGCAATGGCTACACAAACCTGCCTGATGTGGTCCAGCCCAGCCACTCCCCAACAGAGAACAGCAAAGGCCAAAGCCCCCCATCAAAGGACACAGGCAGTGACGTGAGTGGGTTGGTACAGGTCCCTGGAGTGAGAGGAGAGCCCTCGGGGTGGGCAGGAGGCCTGGGCTTGCTGGGGCCCTGGAATCGCGTTATTCGCCTGACTGCTGCCTCTCTCTGCTCCCACAGTACCAGTCTCGAGGGCTAGTGAAGGCCACTGGCAAGAGCTCCTTCACAATGTTTGTGGATCTAGGGATCTACCAGCCTGGCACTGGGGACACCATCCCCATCACAGGTAAGGACACAGCTGCTGTGAGGCCTGCCTGGCTCACAGCGGGCCTGGGGGGGAGCACAGCTGGGTCTGAGGATGAGCTCTTTCTTTTGGGCCTTAGCTCCTCTCCTGGTACAGGTGCAAGAGAAGGGCTTCCCAGACTGGATGGGGAGGGGAGTGCTAGAGTAGTGTGTAAAGGAAGCCAGGACTGTCATCAGGCATTTTTCGCCTTGAGGCCACAGTGCTCTTCATCTCTTCCCTGAACCTCCTATTCTCCAGTCTTTCCCTTCCTTCCTGATTATCCCGAGACACCAAGATCAGATGTTAGAGGCTTAGGGTAGATGAGAGATAGCTGAATGAACTGCAGATTACCCCCCTTCCTCTTCCTCTAGCCCTGGTGGGCGATGGTAGTCGGCTGGATCAGCTGCAGTACGACGTGAGGAAGGGTTCTGTGGTGAATGTGAATCCCACCAACACCCGCGCTCACAGCGAAACACCTGAGATTCGCAAATACAAAAAGCGGTTCAACTCGGAGATCCTCTGCGCAGCCCTCTGGGGTAAGCTGGGGCTGGGAAGGTGGAGAGGGGTCTAGTGAGTAAAGGCTTGCTTCTCCCTCTCACCTACCAAAGGGCTCCTGTTGTAGGAGTCAACCTGCTGGTGGGCACAGAGAACGGGCTGATGTTACTGGACCGCAGTGGGCAGGGCAAGGTGTATGGACTCATCGGGCGGCGACGCTTCCAGCAAATGGATGTACTGGAAGGCCTCAACTTGCTCATCACCATCTCAGGTATGTGGGTGGGGGCTGGGGCTGGGGCTGGGGCTCAGCCCTTTGGCTCTGTTGCTGTCTTCAGCCTGGGAGGAGGGCAACCTTGGTCCAGAAGACAGAAGGTGGGACAGCTTTCTCACCCCTAGTGGTGTGTAGGGGTGGGGGAGGCGGCAGCTTGGGCCTTCGATGAGGACGGGAGTGTGTGTGTGTATATGTGTGTGTGTGTGTGCATGTGCGTGTGTACGTGTATGTGTGTCTGTGTGTCCATCTCTCAGGGAAGAGGAACAAACTTCGGGTATATTACCTGTCCTGGCTTCGAAACAAGATTCTGCACAATGACCCAGAGGTGGAGAAGAAGCAGGGCTGGACCACCGTGGGGGACATGGAGGGCTGCGGGCACTACCGTGTCGGTGAGAACGTCACTGGGGGCCTGAGCTAAATGCTGGCAAAGCCTTGAAGTCCAAGAGTTGGGCCTGGGGCTGGGGTGACCTGGGGAAGGGACCTGCAGCATGAGAAAAGGGAGTCCCCACACGCCTCTTCTTTCCTGCCCCCAGTGAAGTACGAACGCATTAAGTTCCTCGTCATTGCCCTGAAGAGCTCTGTGGAGGTGTACGCCTGGGCCCCTAAACCCTACCACAAATTCATGGCCTTCAAGGTAATCTTAGCCTCAACTCCTAAACTCTATTCTAAGGTCCTGCTTCTCCACCTGCCCACCCTGATCCCTTCTCTCCTCAACAGTCCTTTGCTGACCTCCCTCACCGCCCACTGCTGGTGGACCTGACGGTGGAGGAGGGGCAGCGCCTCAAGGTTATCTATGGCTCCAGCGCTGGCTTCCATGCTGTGGATGTCGACTCGGGGAACAGCTACGACATCTACATCCCAGTGCACGTGAGCTCAGCAGGGCTGCAAGGAGAGTGGGGCCAGGGAGTCTGGGTTCCTAGACCAGAGACCCCAGCCTGCCCTGTCCTCCTCAGATCCAGAGCCAGATCACACCCCATGCCATCATCTTCCTCCCCAATACTGATGGCATGGAGATGCTGCTGTGCTACGAGGACGAAGGCGTTTACGTCAACACGTACGGACGGATCATTAAGGATGTGGTGCTACAGTGGGGAGAGATGCCCACCTCTGTGGGTGAGTGTGGGGTGTCCTCCAAGCTGCCCATCCCTAGGGTGACCCAGGAGTGGCTTACTTACCCTTCCACTACCCTCTCCCCACAGCCTACATCTGCTCCAACCAGATCATGGGCTGGGGCGAGAAAGCCATTGAGATCCGTTCTGTGGAGACAGGCCACCTGGATGGGGTCTTTATGCACAAAAGAGCCCAGAGGCTCAAGTTCCTGTGTGAGCGGAATGACAAGGTGAGAGGCTCTGCTAGAAGGGCCTGAATCCCTGTACCAGGCTGGCTCCTACCACCCTGGCGTCTATTCAGAGATCTGTAGGAAGGGACGGTCCTGGTGTCTTAGTACAGTACACAATCACAGCCTCCCTCATCTCCCTCTTGTCCCATTCTGCGGTTTCTTTCACTTCTCTGTTCATTGAGACTCACCCCCATCCCTTGGTGATGGCTTCTTCTACCCCAACCAGGTGTTTTTTGCCTCAGTCCGCTCCGGGGGCAGCAGCCAAGTTTACTTCATGACTCTGAACCGTAACTGCATCATGAACTGGTGATGGGCCCCGTACTGGGACTGCTCCACTTGGACCCAGCTCTTCTCCAACAGCCAAACTTCCCAGGCTGCCCCTAATTCCCCTCCCTGGGCTTTTGCTTTACTGGTTTGATTCACTGGAGCCTGCCGGGAACGTGACCTCTGATCCCCGATGCTTTTGTGATCACGTGACCATCCTCTTCCCCAAAATGTTCTTTCCCCAAAACTGTGCCTGTCCCCAACTTCTGGGGAAGGACACAGCTCCCCTTCCCAGGAATTGAATGGGCCTTGTCTCTCCCCTTTAATTAAGAGGAGAGTGCTTGGGGCTTGGACCCCTTAATCCATTGCTGCTGACTAGGCAGGGCTCTGGACCCCCTTATTTGCACGACAAGGGAGCCGGCTCCCCCCTTGAATGTACCAGACTCTGGGGGGGGTCACTGGGCCCTAGATTCTAAGGGGGGGGGGTCACCAGCCACTCCAGGGGCAGGAACCATTTCCTCATTTTCTGAAAGCACTTTAATGATTTCCCCTCTCCCCAAACCCCAGGGAATGGAGGGGAGACCCTGCCAGCCAAAACATTCCCCCTTTCTAGCCCCCATCTCTCCTAGCCTCTCCCCTTTCCTGGTAGGGGGGAGGGGAAGGAACAGGGAGTTCTTGCCCTCCACAACCCCTTGCTTGCATCTGTATATAGTGTGAGCAGCAAGTAGCCCTTCTCTTCCCCTGACCCCCCTCAATGTAGTGGCCTTGGATATTCCGTTTGTTAATAAAGACAGTTCAACCAGCTCCCACCATTTCAGGCCTCTTATTATTGTATTTTTTCCTTTTTTCTTGTTACTAGTTCTGGGGCTTGAACTCTGGGCCTGGGCTCTATCCCTGAGCTTTTATGCTCAAGGCTAGCTAGCATTCCACCACTTGAGCCACAGCTCCACTTCCAGCCTTTTTGGTACTTAAAAGTCTCATGGACCTTCCTGCCCAGGCTGGCTTCCAACTATGATCCTCAGATTCAGTCTCCTGAGTAGCAAGTATTACAGGCGTGAGCCACCAGCACCCAGCTTTTGTATTTTCTTTCACAATACTGGGTATGAGTCAGGGAGAGCCAGCAGGAGTTGGGACAGGAGCACTGTGTGTGTAATCTGTTAGTGATTACACTCATAGAGGTGAGATGTATGAGGCCGGGCCCAGAAAACTTAGGTGTCATGATTGAGGAAGGGCAGGACATCCGGGCCCTAAACCTGTAATGGTCTTCCCCTTCAGCAAGATAAAGCCAAAGAAGCTGTGGATGCTCCCCAGGCCTCACTTTGTGGGGACTATTCTATTGTCTAGCAAATGGATAAAGATCACTTAAAAGCTCATAGGTCTAGAGAGTCACTGTGCTAAGAGAAAAAGGCAGAAATCTACAGAGCTAAAGTGAGGGCAAACTGCTCTCTGGAGGGTTGGCACCAAGGGCATGCACCCCCTACGGGACCACAGTGGCACATGCAATCTCTGGGGGAAGTTCGCAAAACAAATTCATTGTCAAGGGATTATAATTCAGCTTTTCGAAATCTATGTCCTGAGTAAGGGGAATTGACGCCGGGGCAAGTGCAGGCTCAAGGTTGGATGCATGGCGAGTAAGGGAGATCGGGCACTTGGTTGAAGTAGCCCCCAAGGAAGATGAGGGCGGAACCCACACTGAAAAGCACCAGGGCGGCCCAGAAGCAGACGTTGTCCAGCGCCTTTCCCATGCGCACCCAATCGGACACCTCCTGGGGAAGAGAGTCAGGCTGAGTCCCGGGAAGGGGCAGCTTCCCGGCCCTAGGCCCCTGCCTCTGGCTCCTGGCCCACCTCGCCGGCAGCCTCCTGATCTCGCATACTCTCGGCCACGAAGTTCACAGCGTCCACACAGCACCGGATCTCGGGGGCTGCGGCTGCCAGGCTCTGGCAGAGGGCCGCTGGCGGAGGGACACGGCCTTTCACGAAGTGCTTCCTCCGCCGCGGCACCCTCCTGCCCCCGCCTCCCGCCCGGGACGCGCGGCTCACCGGCGCAGGCCCCGTGCCGGTGCCGCTGCCCCTCAAACACCAGCTCGCTCCGCGGCTTCTTCAAGATCAGCTCCTCCGCACGGAGCAGTATGCCCACGGAAGAGGCCCGCCGGGGCGGCGAAGCGGCGCTGGGCGTCTCGGAGGGCGGCGCCGACCCCAGGAGCCGCGGCAGCAGCTCCAGCAGCACCTGCGGCCGGGGGGCGGGGTCAACCGGAGGCCCCGCCCCCGCCCGCCCCTCCGCTCCCTCCCCCCCTCTCCCTCCGTACGTGGCGCAGCCTCGGGGACGTGGCGTGAGTTGTGGGTGTCCGCAAGGAGACGTTGAGCACAATGACGCAATTCATGACAATGAGCGTGGCGACCACCATGACGAAAATGAGATACCTGGGGAGTCCGGGGTGCGTGACGTCACGGCACCCCCGCCTCTGACGTCACCTCATTGCCCACAACCAATAAAGACGCTGGTGCGAGCCTCTGACCTCACAAACGCACCCCCTCCGCAAGTGGTGGTGATACGGCCCTTCAGGGTCCCCCTCGGCGAGGCCCCGGGCATCCACTAGCCCCTCTGCCCTCCCTACCATCTGTGGCAGCCATGAAGGGCGCCCCCAGCAGCCTGGAAACGCTGCTATGGGTCTACAACTTCCACAGCTCCACCGAGGTGAGGCCGCAGAGCGGCTGGAGACGCCGCCCCCCCCACGGCCTCACCCCCCCACCCCGCCGGGAGCCTGGCTCCCTAACCCCAAGGCCCCGCACCCCTGGTCCTCCCGCAGGTGGCCCTCCAGTCCCCGCTCCTGTCCTCCCTGGAACTCGCCGTGGCCGCCGCTCACGAATATCTGGAGCAGAAGTTCAAACAGCTCAACTCCACTGAGCCGCAGGAGCCACGCGAGCCGCAGGAGCTGCCCACGCCGCCCGCCCCGAAGCCCACCCTAAGGCTGGTGCTACGAGAGGCAGCAGCCAGCATCGTGAGCTTCGGCGCCACCTTATTAGAGGTACGGCGTTGGGGGGGGGGGGATGGAGGGGAGAAAAAGGGGCAGCAAGAGGCAGGAACCCCACTTCCCCGGCCCTGTCCCCCTCCCCATGCAGATCTCAGCCCTATGGCTACAGCAGGAGGTGCGGCGCCTGGACGGCAGCGACAGCTGCTCTAGCCTGGCCCCAGACGCCGGGAACCCGGCCGGAGCGCTGACCCGCATAGCCCAGGCTGCCGGGCAGGGGGCTAGGCAAGCGGGGGCCGCCGCGGGCGCGAGCGCCCGGCTCATGGTGCAGGGCGCGTGGCTGTGCCTGTACAGACGGAGTCTGCAGGGATCCGCCACACTCCTGGAACAGTGGGGACGCCAGCTGGGCTTTGGAATCCCCGGGGAAGCGGTGAGTTCGGGAGGGGGGGAGGGGGTACCCTCGGAGCCTTGCTAAAGGGGAGGGGGGCTGGGGAGACATTAAGCCAGATTGTCCCCTCCATAGACATCTTCAGCAGACCTCCAGGTGTTGCCCAGCAGCAGTGAGGAGGAAGAAGCAGAGACTCCATCGCAGTCCCAGCCCCACTCCGCATCCAAATAAAGCCCCACAAAGAACGTCCGCCCAAGGCCCTCCTCAAGTCTCTTGATTCGCGGCTGCACCTCTACCCAGGCTGCCGCTGGCTACAACTCCAGCCAGCACGGCCCCGCTCCTACCCCCCCCCACGCCTTCACAGGCCCCGCCCTCGTGACCACGCCCCTTCATCCTCACGGCCTTCTCAACCCCGCCCCGCAGGACCCGCCCCTACTGACGCCCGTCCTCACCTGGCCTCGGCCCCGCCCCCTCCGCAGAGCTCCGCCCCTGCCTGGCCTCGGCCCCGCCCTCCCGCAGAGCTCCGCCCCTGCCTGGCCTCGGCCCCGCCTCCGCAGCTCCGGGCTCCGCCCTGCAGTTACCTGCCTAGCAGCGGCACGCTCAGAGACGTCTCTGGGATTTTCTGGGCAATTAGGAACAAGAAGACAGTCTGGGCGAGCAGGACGTTGATAGAAACCGTGCATTTCTGGCCGCCGGCTGCAAGGAGCCTCCGGTGAGACCCAGCCCCGGCCTTGGAAGCGAGTTGGGGTTCAAGTTCGGGATCCCTTCTTACCCTGCGCTGGCAGGAAGTAGGCCAGCAGCACGAGGCCCGAAATGAGCACGCAGGGCACGATGATGTTAATGATGTAAAAGAGCGGCTTCCGGCGGATGATAAGAGAGTACATGACGTCAGTTTCCCCCTGGCTGTCAACCGAGTCTCCTTGGTGGCGGCGGATCACCCCAGGGCAGAAGTCGATGGCCCACTCCCCGTTCTCTGCACGAAAGGATGGGGCTCAGTCTGGCCGCTCTCACACCTGACCCTGAAGTCTGTAACCCCATCCTCAGGAGGAGAAGAGGCCGGGTGCACCGCCCTGGCCCCGGGCCTTCAGGATGGGGACATTTCGGGCAGCCAGAGGACAAGAGAGGAGACAGGACTCGTGTGACAGCCGAGGATGACTTTAGAAAGGGACCAGCTAAAGCCGGGTTGCTGCAGTCAGACCTTGGTATGTATGGTCGGGGGGCACCCTATTCTGGAAGACCCCTCCGGAGCTTGTGTAAAGAGAGAGGGGGGGAAGTCTGGGGGCACATGGGGGCTTCACCAGTAAAGGCCTCCGTGTCGATTTCAATCTTGTCGATAGTGTCGCCATTGTCGTCCACAGCAAAGATGAACTCCACCTCTTGGGCATTGTAGGTCTGAGAGCTGTGGGACCAGAGCCAGGGTTCCTATGGCAAAACCTCAGGCCTGGGCCCTGCCTGCGGCCCGCCCTTGAAGCCCGGATCTGGCCCGATAATAAGGCCCTGCCCGTACACCTGTTAACATCCCTAAGTTATGGGGGGGGGGGGTGTTTTTTTGGTCGTGGGGCTTGAACTCTGGGCCTGAACGCTGTTCCTCAGCTCTTCAGCTCAAGGCGAGCACTCTACCACTTGAGCCACAGTGCCACTTCTGGTTTTCTGAGTGGTTTTTTGGAAATAAGAGTCTCACAGACTTTCCTGCTCGTGCTGGCTTTGAACCAGGATCCTCATAGGATTACAGGTGTGAGCCACCAGGACCGGGCTCCTATGTTTTGAGATAACGCCTCAAAACCAGCCTAAGCGGTTCTTGAACACCTGGCCTCAAGTGACTTCTCCTCCTTCCAATCCATCACCACCCTCCCCCACACACACACACACTTACACTGGGACTACAGGCTGGAAGTACTGGTCAGTGCCTCTCAGCCTGGTTCCAACCACTAATTGATTAGAAGGAGGTCCCCTGGTCCACCCTGGCATCCCACTTCCCCATCTGGCCCCGCCCCCTGCTCCAGGCTCTTCTAATCCGGGGATCTCTGAGTGACTCTTCCCACCGGAAAATGAGCGAGCAGTTCTGCCAGTCGAAGGGGAAGTAGGTGACCTCCACGGCGCAGGTGCTGCGGTAGATAGCTGGGGGCAGCCAGCTCACGTAGCCACCCTCCGAGATCAGCACGTTGCACTCATAGGCCACGCCAAATTGGCCATCAATACTGTGGGTTCGGGAAACGGAGCTTTTCACAAAAGGTCCACACCCCGGTCCAAGTACCCCCCAAGCCCGGTGCCCCACACCAAGCCTAACCCAGCCGCCGCCTCCAAGGCTTCCCTGAATCCTGGCTTTCTGAGCAGTCCTCACTTATTTTCCAGCACAATCTCGGGCAGCCACACGAGTTCCGAAGGGACCCGCAGCGTCTCTATGCCCCCAAAGTCGTCCTTGCTGTAGTTGAGTCGGTAATCTTGCCA